TTWWCTTTTACTTTCTGATCTTTGCAAATTTACTTTTCATGTTTTAGAATGGGGAATGATGGTCTTGGAAGCTATAGGAGATTTACTAATATTTTAGTTAGATCAGATGAACTCTTAAAGTTCAATTCAGGCTAATGAGTTCATAATCAATTTCAAGTAATCCAATTAAAAGACCTTTTGTCCTGCCAAAACCCCTAGTCCTTCGAGATAGGCATGCAAACGATGTGTTGCCACCATGCTGTTTGACAATTTTGCTATTAATGTTATATCATATTAACCTGTTGATTTTTTTTTAATGAACCCTTGGTGTAAATTTGTTTACATGAAACAGGTTTAAAAATATAAATTGTGGACATGTTCATAAAATGAGCCGTACATAAACACAGTTAAATGTTGGTGATGGTAAAGACAACCCCAGTGAAAGCCGCAAAGAATAAACAAAGATATAGTAATGCAAATAACCTCATATCTATCACTCCTTAAGTGAGAGCATGTATATCAAAGATGCTCAACATGTCATGTATAAGGTTATTTGTGACCTCAAAGTGGCTTCCTCATAATCATCAACTTTTTCTTTGGAACTACTCAAACTGGTTCACAGGAGTCAGGAACCGAGAGCCACTTTCTTTCAGAGAAAGTAACAATCAACCTTGGTGTGCATGATGTGCTATAATATGTGGTTTTAGGATATATGCATGAAATCTCCAGACCAACCCCCTGTCCCTTGTCTCCACAATCCGTTCCACGCCTGTTCTTGCAGAGTCATACCTCATCCCAATGTCTGTATCATGACATCCATGTGTTGATAGAAGCAATGCATGAGTATGACGAGCGTTAAGAGTTGTCATATAACCAGGAGGTTGTTCTTGTATCATATATCCTGAGTTCTGCTTTTATTTATTAGTTACCACTTTTCAATATGAACAGTGGACACCGTATTGGGACGACAGAAGTTGAATCCGCTCTTGTTTCACATCCCCACTGTGCTGAAGCAGCTGTTGTTGGTGTTGAGCATGAGGTACCTTTCTGCATGTTATGTGCATATGGTACTGTCTTCTCAGCAAGTGTTGTTGCATACGCTTGAGCAATTCATCATCTGATTTCTCTTCAGGTCAAAGGGCAGGGCATATATGCATTTGTTACTCTGGTGGAGGGTGTTCCATACAGCCAAGACCTCCGCAAAAGCCTCGTGCTTGTGGTTCGAAACCAAGTAAGTTGTTATTTATTTGGCCTTTTAACCTGGTAAAATCTTTTTATATATGTTAAATGGCTACTATGAATGTTACCGAGCAAATCTGTGACCTTATTTTACCTCTGAGTATCTTAAAATTGCAAATTGATGAAGTTCCAACATATTTTCAACTACTCTGTCTTCAAGCTTCACCACTTAAGGTGAACTACGACTGTCCATTATGTTTCTAGGCCTGGAGAATCTCATCTTTGAATAGTTGAAGCGTCACTCAGAATCCTTTGGTTCAGCAAAAATCATCGGATGTTAAAAACCATGTACAGGTTTTTTATGTACCATTTTTTTGGAAAAGGCTGGTTTAGTTGCTGGAAAATATACATTACCCCTCCCCTCGTCCCATAATAGATGTCTACGATAAAAAAACACAACAATTTTACCCTTATAAATGTTCCAACAAATTCTTCGAACACTTTTTCTCCCACTAATGAATTTCTCCATCTCATCAACTCATTGTAGAGGGTCAGAAGAAAAGCTAGATGAGGAACAAACTCCATTCACAAAAGGACATCATTATATAAAATCCCCCTGAAATAAACTACATTCACAAAAGGACATCATTACTTGTCGGAGACACAAAAGTCCACTTTTCGGCAACCTCTTTGTATTGTCATTATCCTAAATACTTAATCCTGTTACTCTTAGGCAAACAATATGGATGATAATGTTAATTGTAACTTCTACTTTTCCAGTCTTGCTAAAGATTCTCACATTCCTTTCTTGCCAAACGAAGTAAACCACAGCACCTAGAAGTAGTCTTTAAACAATAACCCAAATGGGCCTCCCTCTACCTTTGGTTGTAAGGTAGGTGATTATTATGATGAATGGAACAAAGAAAAAAGATAAGGAACAATAAAAGAAACACACAGACTTACTTGGTTCACCAACAGCATGTTGTGGCTAGTCCACAGGCAAGGGAGATTTGATTTTTATTTGCAAATTTTTGGAGTCACATACAGACTAGCTCATATTTTTGCATTGTTTAGTTGAGAACCAGAAATATGGAGATTATATAAGCAAGACTCCACATTCCCTTTGATATTAGGTTACTTACAGAAAAAAGAAGTAAAAGATGACAAAGATGGAGTTGTAACAGACTTGTAAGCCAACGTGCATGAACATTATGAGTTTGAGTAAAGTGCTTTATATTTCAATGTAGAACTTTATTCTGAAGCTGCCTTATTTACATATCAGATTGGAGCATTTGCAGCTCCTGACAAAATTCATTGGGCTCCTAGTCTTCCAAAGACAAGAAGTGGAAAGATAATGAGGAGAATTCTGCGGAAAATTGCCTCTAGGCAGCTAGATGAGCTGGGGGATACAAGCACGCTAGCAGACCCAAGCGTGGTTGATCAGCTTATTGCTCTAGCTGATTCCTAAATTTACCAACTCCATCCCTAGTTCAAAGTCAACAAAGTTGTTTTGGATAATGAATGACAAATTACATTAGACAAGGTACACCAGAAGCTGGGATGGAAATCTATTTTGAAGTTAAATAAATAAATATATATATATATATATATATATATATATAAACACATATATATATATATATATGAGTGAATGCTTTTAGAAGTATGATCCAGAGTGCATATTTTATTTAGATGACCTAAAACTTGTGTATTCAGAGCAGAAAACCGCTATAGGTTCATATTGTGTTGATAATACTGTTGATTTCACTTTTAAAGAAGCAACGATTTTTCCTCTAGTAATTGAATACATTGTAAAATGTTCAACGCAAAAACATGACCCCAAACCGTCTCATCTTTGTCATTCATAATAAGTGCTTTCATAGAAAAAGTTAAACCATTCTGACTTGTAATAAGTTGATAAGTGCTTTTATAGAAAAGCATAAGTTGTTTCAAAAAAACAATCCCAAACACCTCCTAAATTGTCAATCCACCAACCTTATTCTTAAGAGTGGTCATTGCATGCATTTTAAACAATAAAGTTCCATTATTTTCACTATGCACGTTGGGGCTGATGATGTTACTGAACAGAAGCTTTGATAGGCTTCTGATTCATCTTCTTTTATATATATATATTGCATCGTAAAATCATTTTAAAATGACCCCTCCCACATGAACATGATTCACTTGATGATACATTACAAAAAGAAATTGTTATGAATACAACAAATATAATTATCGCTAGATTTGAATCCCCGAATCCCCAAATTCTAATAATAATGACTGAAATTTTAGGAACGCAGAAAACAGAGATAATTTATTATCAGATGATTTGTGAGCAAGAGCATGCCAAATGTTTAAGCACTGCTCTCCTGCCTTGCCTTAAGTACCAGCTCTTCTGTGGTGGTGCCAATGATCTCATTCGCACGTTTAAGACCAACACAATAATACCTTCCTATTGCATCCTAAATTCAGAAACAAAATAATAATAATAATAATAATAATAATAATAATAATAATGATAATAATAATAATAATAATAATAATTATTATTATTATTATAAAGTTGGCATTGGCATTGGCATTGACATAGAAGATAAAAGAAAAGAAAACAAGTAATTCACCTTAACAATAATGCCCAACTTTTCCAATTTCTGGACTGCATCATCCACGTCGAAGTTGCATCTCTCACCAAACTCTTCCTTTATTAGTTCCTCACATTTAATGTCGAGTTCCTGCATCATGCTTATTAATTACTTGTATGCACTGTGCAAATCTGGTCCATATATACACGGAGCAATACCTTTAGAGTGGCTTTGCCTTGTTCCATCAAGATAAAGAAAGAAATGATAACCTCTTTTACCTGGAAATGATTAAACTAACTGATTAAATTAGTTAAGCTCATTATACAAGGAATTTATATCGACTTAAGAAGAAAAAGATTTGTGGCTTGGCCTTGTGAAGTTATACTTGAGCACCATAAATTATGTAAAAGTAAAATAAATTCTTATAGACTTACTTCTTGTTGAATCACATCATCACACAAATGAAGAAGAGTTCCTTTTCCACTATCCAATTGTTTGTCATACATGAACTGTGTAATTAAGTTCTGATATGTATCCATATTTGCTTGAAACCTACATTCAGTTGGATCAAGATTGGTAACTAAAACCATACACATCCCACAATTAATTGGAAAACATAAACAAGACTGACGTGAAGTATATTTTGGCACAATAACCAACTACTGTAGAGATGACGGCAACTATGACCCAAAAGTCAGCTTGAGGCGTCTCGATTGAACCAGTGGCAGCTCCCTGGAAGGAAAAAAAAACAAATTAAAACTTGTAGGAAAAACAAGAGTGAGGAGTTGATCATGATTCAAGATCACTAACCAGGCCCAGTACAGCAGTTGTAAGAAATTTCACCCAGTCCATAGGGGTTAGACTTGGGTTTTTCTTCTCCGGCTGTAAGTACAAATTACAATATATTAAATTAAAGAAAGTCGCTGGTAGATGAAAAAGGACAGATGATGATGATGGTGAAGGAACACTCACTCACCAGGACAATTTCCATATCTGCCATTGGAATTTGTTTTAAATGCTTCACGAAGATTCCTCGCTCCTTTTTTCCCTTGGTGCCGCCTACTCGCCTGCACATTTTAACCCCACCACCAAATGAAATATTTAATGAACTTTGACACTAACTACCAATGCGAATCATACCTGTAAACCACAATTATCCTGTCAAAAGTAGGTTCTTGGATTGTAATCTTACTCGCCAAATTCTGTAAACTGGTAAAAATTAATGTGTCAGTTGTTGGTGATTTTAGTGTCATTAAACATTTTGGTTTAATTGAGATTGACTCGAGATAAAAATAATTTATAGTGGTTTCTGTAATTTTTTTTTGTTACAACAATTTTGGAAGTCCAAGAGATAAATTGTGCTTAATGTTTTTGATTTTTTTACTTGATAGGAGGGGTCTCCCCCTCCATATAAAAAAAGTAGTGCAACCTAGCTATAACAATAAACAAAGAGTTAATAATAGATACAACCTGAAATCCAAATTTTCAATCCGGATGCGCTCAACATACAAGTCATCCTGAAATTCTTGGTCTTCTGTGGTTTCATCGTCTTTCTTAATATCTTTCTTAAATCGTGCACTTAATTTACTTGAAAATATCTTTTCTAGCCTGCAAGCACATTAATTACAACTTTTCTAGATAAGATACTAGTTGTATAATCCACATTCTACAGTTTAAGTTAAATTAGCATTGATTTGTCAGGGAACTTGCCTAGTCACTCTCATGATCCATCCCCATATGCGTGCAATGATCATGTCCACCTTCTCCAAGAAAAAGTAATCAGTCGTACGATCAATTCCAATGCCACGTCGAAAGATTACATACTGCAAAAATCAATGATGAACAAAAGGCATTCAATCCACAAACTATATTCAAGCATTAACCACCGATATACTTTAATATATCATATACCAAGGTTAGGTATACTCAGATATTTCTAAGCTAGTACACCAGCAACACCTTATCTGCAAAGTCAGGAAGGTTTTCTTTAGGATGCTCCGCAAAGTACTTCTTCAGTAGCTTCTTATCAAGCTACATTAAATGAGAATAACATATATTAATAGGTATTAGCAGAAGAATCACCTGAAAATGATTATGAAAAACCATATTCAAGTGCATGGCTTTTAGAAAGGCATGTATAATACCTTTGATTCATCCACTGAGATAGGAAGATTCAGAAGATACTGCCCTGATTGTGCAATTGCAATCTCCTCATTAGTAGCAATCTTAAAATTACTCTTTTCCATTACCTGCATTGATATGAAATAGTGAACTTCATACAAAACACCAAAGAAAGCGTATAGTGCGACATGGTTGACTACCCAGAGAACATAACGAGCATTACTGAATACCAATGTGTATATGTTCCAAACTGTTCCTTGTAATGTCATAAGGGAGCGTAAATTGCGATGGCGAACACAGGAAAACTATGGATGCATTTGAAATATTGGGTTCTGTTTCTATATTCACATGGTCAAGTATAACATTTCATGGTAAGAATGAAGCATGCTACCTTAAACATATAGTTGAGGAAGTTCTGTTCAAGGACATCAATCTCTTCAGAGGATAAATTCTGCTGCTCCAATTTCTGAGCCCCATAGACAGGATCAAAGAGTGCATATAGTTGCTGCAAGTGTACCAAGAAAATCAACTAACAAAATATATATCAAGGACAAGTAGAAATTTTGGAGAAGAGAGTTGATAATACCATAAGATCTTCAAACTGGAGAAGATACCATGCTCGAATCGTGTACTCAACTCTCTTGCAGAGCTTCAAGAACTCTGCCCGGTCAGAACTCTGTTCTGCACGGTATAAACAATTCCAACAAAGATAATATTTAAAATCTACATTTTGCCGAACGCACCATCCTGGTTTAAGAAAATAAAAATGCACTTGGACTTTTGATGATCAATATGCTAAATCAAACTTGATCTATTTGTCATGGAACTCTATAACACATACTAGAAACATACTATAAAACCCAAATAAGTTTGTCACTTGAAAAGTAGTAGAATTGATATAAAAAAGCGATGTATATATCATTTCAGAGAATGTAGTGGTTACAAATGGCATGACAAATAAAATCACACATGTATGTGAAAGTGAATGCGTATATTAATTCATGTTGGTAAGTGATCAAAATCCCAAATTTATAGCCGGGAGCATATGTACCTGAGGCAATAAAAAAACAATGCAGATACATCATTAATTGCGACAGATCCTTTTGCTGACTTGCGAGGATGACAGGTAGAATAAGGTAAAGAGGGATCTTATGAATTCATGCATAGCATTCTCTCTCTCTCTCTCTCTCTCTATATATATATATATACACACACACACACATACACACACACATAAAAGATGCATTATAGTTAACGAAACACAAAGATGGCATTGAGTCGTAGTTGCAGGCAGGTAAGGAAAATAATGGATTTGAAAAGATTTATACATACATACCAATGAGATTGGCCAAAGTCATGATGAGCTTAGGCTTCAAAACTGGAATTACCGATTCACGTTCCAATCGAATGACTTCCTTGTTCTGTTTGGCAGGAATACCCATTTTTTAATGTTTGATCGAATCTCAATCTAATGGAAGGAATGTGGAGAGTTGAAGCATCTCATCTGTTTCACACCAAAATGGATTCAATTAACAAATCCAAACTGTCGATCAATTAATGTCGATGGCTTTGCTTCCTGTTGGTCTCCTTATGCCATGCAACATTTTTTGTAATAAATAAATTATCAAACTTGTAAAAATTAGTTAACTACATTCTTTTAACAAAAAAAAAAATATTTAACTGACTAGAATGGTCTTAAAGTACAAAAAAAACCTAAACAATTTTACCGTTTCCAACCCTATGCCCTTCAAACCCATGTCACCCTATCGGTGCCTGTTTTTAATCATATCGGCTATCACATAGTTGGCCCCTATTATCGATCTCCCTCTTTTTGATCCAGTTTTAGAGGATTACGAGTAGTTATACCTTGAGATCTTTCTAGTTGGTTACATGTAATTTTGGTTAAAATGATTTAAGTAAGCAATTTTTAGAGTTCGATGGTTTATTTTATTAAAAAAAAATGTTCGGAGACTTAATCATTCAAAATGAGAAAGTTTAATGGTTTTTTCATTAAAAAGAGATAGTAGGGGACGTAATCATTTAAAATGAGAAAGTTTAATGGTTTTTTCATTCAAAAAAATAGTACAAAATACTTGATCATTCAAATTGGGATAGTTCTTTAGTTTTTCAAAATTTTTGCCAATTTTAAACGTACCGAAAAGCATGAAAAAGAATATACCTAAAGGTATAAAATTTGGCATTAACTATTGAAGTTATTGTCTGTACAGCAATTTTAAGAACATCTCCAACAGCCATGTTAAAATAGATTTTTTTGAAAATGTTTACGCTAACAACTATACTAAATAGTATATTAAAATAGAGAAAATAAGAGAGATAAAATGTTAGAAAATTTGGTTGATCTAGATCTTAGTTCCAAAACCATATTCATGGTAACTTTTGGAGGTTATTAACTTTTTATTTATAACTCGATGGTTACGTCTAAAAATAAAATAAAATATTGAAGATCCAGATGTTCGTAATCGATTTCATAATAAAATTGGTGATAAAATTTGGAAGGTCATAAGTGTTTTGGTTGCTTATTTTCTGAGATCTAGATTATGTTGGTAGTAATATCGGTTTTTGTAAATCATATTCTGAGAGGCTATAACTATGCTTAGTGAACAAAGGTGGCCGAATTTGGAGGATCAACTAGAGAAATTGTTTCAGTATATATAGACAAAAAGAAAATAAAGAAAAAGGTGATATGTGTTAGATTGGACTGAATTTGCAACAAATGTTAGTTTTGGCCATGTGCTTGACATGTTGCATGTTACTTTTTCAATTAATAACATCTCAAATATTCATTAATGCTTGAGAATTTGGTACCAGAAGAAAAAGAAAAGTTGAAAAAATGAATAAAAATACAAAACTTATATTCTTTAAAGTTTCCCATATGCTTTTCCCAATCTGAAGAATGAATCATCATGATGTTCCAATGTTACGATGAGTATCAACAAATTCCCGAAATAAAGACTTGAGCATCCTGCCACCCTTTCCTTTTCCCTTTCCCCACATATGTCCATCACTGCTTCTGCTCTCAACATAATCAACTGCTGCATCAGCTAGAGCCTTTAGCCATACCGGTGCTAGACTTTCTGCTTCTCCCTGCCTTAAGTACTCACCAGGTAGACTCCGCACCTGCTAAATAATTTCCATTAACCATTTTCTTCTCTCTTTATTGATTTAAAACATAAGATAATATCATGAGTTTGTACGTCCAATAACAAACAACTGTGACAAGGAAAAATAATGCAATTCTGACCGCAGAATGTAGCCATCCATGTAGAGAATCCCAACAGAGAATAGACTTCCACGTTGTTTTCTCACTAAAACTGCATACTGCAGCCAGCTGTTGTAAGATTGTTGCAGACTTGTGAACCTACAAGGACATAGAAAAGAATTTACCGATTTCTGTGACAAAGGGAAGTTCAAAGTTACAAGACTCGAGGTCGAGTGACTTTGAATATTTGAAGAACAATCTCAGTCATGATAAATAATTTTACAACCAGATATCATGTTATCATCACCTTGTGCTAATTTGAATTGGACTCGGATCAATTATCTTATAAAACCATAACAAGTTTGAGATAATGCATGATTTGACGGTAAAGGTCATTCTCTAATCACCTTGACCATATCAATATTAACCGGTAGGAGAAGAAAAGTTATGGTTTCGACAAGCATTTAGAAACAATATAAAATTTGGTTGTTCATCAATATGCTGATGGCAGCAATGTGTATATGCAAAGCCCTCCTGCTTCACAGATAAACTAAAGCCGTACATATCATTCAAGCGTACATATCATTCAAGCCAGTTCTTTTTTCGCATTAGGAGTGACACGTTGTGACAGAACACAACCCGGACACCAGGTGCCCACGTGGCTCATCTAGCTGTCACAAGAAGACACATATGCACATAATATATATATATATATATATATATTATATATTTTTAAGGATTGACTGTTTACCCTTGACATTGCTGAAACACCAAGTAAAGCATACACCACATTCGATACAAGTCCCTCGCCACTGTGAGATATTACATGAACCGCCATGGATGTAATTAATGATTCAGAGTTACATGTGACTGATTCCAGCAACGAATTCAGGCCAAGCTCGAGGAAACCTAAAACAAGGAACAGTTAGAAAATTTACATCCATCACATACCTATGATATCACTGTTATGAGTGGTATGTTTCAACCAATTAAACCATAAGTTCGTACTGATCTCTAGATACAATTAAAAAGGAGGCCTTTGCTTTATCTGCTTCTTCCTCTCCCCAAGAATGAACAATTGGAAAATAAAAAGAGAATATATATACATATATATATATATATAGACGAAGGATCATGTGAGAAGAAGAGTTAAGGTGAGAAGCGTAAGAAGGGATCTCCACCCTTGATCACTTTTAATCTCATGCCCCCCATGAAATGCGTCTTAGAAGGGAAGTGATCCGGTGCATCTCATTAGTGTTGATCTTCAATTAGGATTGATCCAGGGGTGGAGATCCCTTCTCACCATAACTTCCCCTTCTCAGCTGAACCCAACCCGATATATATGTATCTTTTTTGATAGATAGAGAATTATATATTTTGGTATAGAAAAGATGAGGTTATGCAGGCAGCCCTTTCACAACTGGCATAGGCTCTCTATTTGCTTGCAATGCCGGCTCTTCGCCTAGAGGGGTCATTTGTCCCATACTTCAAAAAAAGTTTTAAAGATGGAAGAACTAAGAAAAATACATTAGGAATGAAAAGGAAAAAACTTGGTTACAGAACTGAATGTTAGGCCAACCATTTTAGTATAGCTTACACCTAAAAAAGTGTATTTCTACACTTCCCCTTTCTGTCAATGTTGCCAATTCCTAGAATACTAATGTACCCTCATGTATACACTATACAGTTGCCCAACTACTTTCTTCCTCTCGACTTTTTAGCCACTTCCGGCTTCCTCACATCCACATCTTCTATATTCAGAAGATCTAGGTTTGTGGCACAGCATTTAGCAATGCTAACAGTCTGGTACGGAGTGGAGTGTGGGAATGTTTAGGGTGGGAAATGCTGGGATTGCTTCTCATAGGATTGGGTAAGAGAATCGGAAATGGGATCATAAACCAGGCTTTTGGGCACACAGAAAAGGGTTGGTGTTGGAGGGTAATTCTCAGCTGGAGTTGGGAACGGGATCACTATAGTGGTTAGGACTTGGGACGAAACTTCCTACACAACTAAATGCCCAGCTGTATTCAGGAATCAAGAGAGCTTGGTTTGTGGCAGAGCATTTATACAAAATACAAAACAAATTCTAGCTTTCATAATTGTGTGTTTCATGTCAAAATGCTGTAAGTTTTGGCTTTCCATGCCTTCTGTAGTTCTAAGTTGTAAAGATTCATGTTACAGCATAACTTAAAATCAGATAATCATTCAACAAGATGCCAGATCTAAGACAAGACTCAACTACAGCCTTAAATTGTGCACTTTAGGCTTTTCATTTCCTTAAAGCACGACTTGAACAGAAGTAGAAACAATGGCGCATCAATTATATTGTAAGGGCACAAAACCATAATGAGAGACTGGTACAAATTAAGCTCCACATATTTCAGATAGATTAAGAGTAACCTTTTTTGCTAAATGTCGTTAAAACGGTAGCAAGAAACATGAGAAACTGTAGAAGAATGATGCTCACAAGACATATATGACATTGCTCCAAGCGCTGCTCCACGATGCATTGCTGTACAACATATAGCTGCTTTCTGAAGCGAAACTTCAAGAAGAGGACCAGAAGAAGCTACTACTTCCTGTAATGCATGAAAAAGACTAAGTAAGCATGTATTTTGTCGTACTAACCCAACAAGCCACAGCGTGAAGAAGGGAAGTAGAACTGTTCACATCTATGAGTGTACGATGAAATAGATTGATTAGACCTTCGGAGAGCTACGAAGAAAGATCGTTGTGAAACTACAATAGGCCTCCACAAGATCAGGCTCTTGATCACATACGTACGAAGAATTTAGAGCCATTACTGATGATGCATGTGTAAACCTTTCAAGCGTACTAATGAATAGAGGTCCATATTCCTCCTTATTACCAAATTCTTCAACGACAACAGAAGCTGTAAACGGAGTGACAAAATGAAGGAAATGTAATTTATTGCCAACAGGAGAAGGTAAAAGAGGATCATGTCAGTATCCTGCAGCTTAGTGTACTATCGAAAGTAGTTTGGGTCGACAAATTGTATGTAAAAGTGAGTGAGTCACCAAAAGACTACTATTGCTAGAATAGGTATCAGTCCAATTATGTTATCTTTTGTTATTTTAATGGCATAAGAATATACATAAGTACCAAAGATTGTATCTCTTATCCCAAGGTACGTTCCTACTACTTCCTCCCCTTCCTCTCAATCTCTCCCTTACTGGACTCACAGGATAAAATTGCACACATAATAATATTCTGTTAAGTCATCAAAGAAAAGAGATGTTGAACATTATTTGCAATTACAGAAAATAGTTGATAATAATCCCATTATTGTCCTTATGTGTTTCCAATAATCTCCCCACACAAGGGCATGCACCTAAATTCAGGTAAAAAAAGAGGGAACTCTTGTGAAAACAGAAGGTCATCATGCAATGCCTATGTGATTGACTATCTCCCTTGATGACAATTTCCAAGTGTTCACATTTGCTGTTCAGATTTCATTTTAAGGAAGATCCGCAAGTCCAAGAACCACAATTATTGCACTTGTTTGTTATCTTAATCAAGTTGGTAAAATATTAGACACAGTTATAATTATCAAAATGGAACAGAATACTGAAGGGCTCCCTTTTGCATGCTATAGTGGCAAACTAAGTCACTGTCTATGTCAGTTCTCTAAACAGGTCACCGCATACAATGATTCACCTTCACACTGAAGAATAACGCTTAGGTCCATATACAAAATTCATTGCTTTTAAGAACATTAGTTTAACAATGAAAATCCCAAGTGCAGGGATCTGATACATCAGTGACTTGTACATGTACAACAAGGCGATGATAGTAATAGAGGCTCGTAATTTTTTTTGCCAATTCCAGCAGCAATGTGTCTTGATGGAGATACTGACTTGGCTACCCGGTATAAAAAGCAAACCTTTTTGTTTTATAATCATGGTGAAATATAACATAAATTGTTTTATTTCAGTGTGAGGATGAATGACAATCGCTGTGATACTATAGCAGACTTCATTTCAGGATAAAGAACAAATTTAGAGCGGGGAAGACAGCAGGCATCTCCCGCAACACAATCAGCATTTTTCACCAATGGGGGGTCTAGGAATTTCAACTGGGATGCACTACCAAAACAAATATAAAATTGGATGCGCAGAGTCTATAATAAATTGTTTTTTAGGTTACATTATTCTTCCAGGTATATATGTAGGTCCACGGTGTTGTTCACCACCATCCGAGAAGCAAACCATGTGCATATGCAAGACTCAGAACCAGCACCACTAGGTTACACTAGGCTTATCGCCTTGATCTTAAGATTATTTGACATGTGTGATGTTCCAAATTCAGTAATTTTCTTAATTGCCCTAAATGCACTGACATATTTTGAGGAATCCGGGGAGGAAAAAATGGAAGTGGCGTAAAACAATTAACTAGCCAAGGAAATAAATTAAGATTAATGTTGGAGATGTAAATGAGTTCACAAGAGGTTTTTCTAGAATTAACAATTAAGCTTATAAGCAATTGTTAGGAAGCAAATTTCTCTGTTTTTTAACATATTTCAACGGTTTCAATTTGTGCCAACAGATCTTAATCGAATTATGAGAACAAAAAAATGGCCAATCAATGTGGCAATGACAACGAATGGCAACATACATTCATCATCGTAATGCACGTGTTACCTGTTTTAATGTAGCACTCATGAGTTTGAAATGATGCAAAATTTGCTGATAGATAATCTAAAAGTTTGGGCAACAGTGTCACAAAATGAATGCCTGCAAATCAACAAACATTTTTTCAGAAATTTTCTATTCTTTACAACTGTCCAACATTGAAATCAGCAATACAACTACCTGAGGACTTGATTGCCTGTGAAAGAGCCCGGCATGCCGCCATTGATAAGTTTGCATTTTCAATGTGCTCTGACTGAAAGAATTTCTCAAGCAGAGGCCAGAAACTCCCAAGAACAAAAATTATAGAATTGTCGATATCATGACATGAAGAAAGTGGCATTACAAGATGACTGAAGACAATTCCTATCCTGAAAGTATTCATTTGAAGTTTCATCAAATAACCTCCTATGTAATTAAACCTGAATGTTTTTACAGTGGACGAATTGAGGAGCTTGTATTTGGCATTAGGAATGCAAGCAAGCCAACATCCTCACCAAAGTTGCTTTTAACTATGAATATCAATGCAAGCCTCGTATTTTTAAGGAGTATAATTACTAACAAGTAATAAAGGCAACTCCAATAAAAACTATATCAATGTACCTAAAACATTTCATGCAAGAGAGATCTAACATATGTATCTAGTATGTGATAATTTATGAATAAATATCAGCATTGCTGAAAAATTATGATGATGGTAGAACAAAAAATGAGACCAACTCTGATACGGCCTAACATCTTCAAGATGAGACAAGGCAAATAAGAATGATCAAGCGCCAAGATGGGATGATTTCTCAATGACTAGAACTAGAAGATTGCAGGTATATAGCACATTTGAGGACAAAAGCTGACAACTCTATCCTCTGTAGAAAATGCAGGGGTAACTGGTCTTTGTGATATTGCACAGGAGGCTCAATGATCAAACATCTGATCAGATAAAGCTTTATCTATATAACTTGGGGAACTGTAAACGGAAGACTTGGATAAGAGGCCTCTTAAATAAAGTAGAAAAGAATACTAGACTAAGCACTCTAAAAGCATGAATCCATGTGATGATATTGCAACTTCAAGTGATATTTCAACGATCTTTGTGTCTTGAAACTTCTCTTCAGCCTTGGCAATGCCTCTAATTCCATTTGAACCCCAACTAGTTCGGGTAAAAGGCTTCTTGTGTCGTACTTTAAACTTTACTCTCTATGAAGTCATCAGAATCATGTGTTACTCTTTGCATATGATCCAGAATGAGATGTCGGTGAAATTCACCATGCTCGCCCAATAACGGAACCATAAAATATCAGCAACGTCGGTAATTTTTGAGCAACTAATGGTTAACGTCTTATTGGTGAGGGTGTGCTGGTTTGCACAAAAATTTCACGCATTCGCACAACATAGTTCAAGTAAAACAAAACCACCTAAGGCTAAGAGAAAACCTGAAAAAACCCTTCGCTGCAGAGTTGACAAGATGAGTATAAGCAGCTGGTAGTTGCCTCAAAGAATGGACATGATCCCTGTCAATCTGAATTGTAACAAGTGATGGATTTACCAATGCAAGCACAGAAAACTTAGAGTTAATTTACAACATTAGAGCTTAGACATTTTTCTGATTATGAACAGCTTTGGCTACTGGACCTTACAGATAGTAAGCACCTTCACATACCTTGCATATTCTATTGCCTATGTGGGTGGATTACAGCAAAAGTTTTCTATTTCTTTTTTCCAAAAGAGGGGCCAGAAGAAATCTTACAAGTTTGCCAATTGATTCAAAGCTAGAAGAAAGCAACTTAAGCAGCAAATTGTTTCTCAACTCCGCGCTAGGAAGGTAACCAAGTATCAGAGTAACAGCACCAATAACATCTTCTTCATCTTCCAGAGGTAAGTGTCTCTTCTCCAATCCCTGAAATTGTCTCACAATGGCATACAAAAGTTTTAGCTGTCAAATAAAGAAATAGACAACATTGAGAAGCGAAGGGATGATATACAGAGTAGAACTGTTCACAATATGAGGTAACTAACCTCTCCAATCCACATTAACATTTCTAAACTTGAAGGTTTGTGCATAACTGCAGTAGCATCTTCACAGAACTTCCTGAAGGCAGTTGCACAAGCATGTGAACACAAAGGTTCTGACATACCAGCTGCAAAAAATAAACTGAAAGCAAGAGATCAGCAGAAAACATGAAAGCAAGGAAGTTAGAAAGGCCAACAAGAGGTGGATCATGCTAAGAAGCACAATATACAGAATAATATAAGAAGTTCCATTGAGCAGAAAAAGTTAGAAGATCATTAGCAATTCACGATGTGAAAAATCATGAAAATTCGTGACAAACATTTTTTTCAATTCTGATGAGGGACAGATTCTGCATCTATTTTATCAATTTTTAAAGAAGAGAATCCTTACAGCAATGGCCTCGCATTAGTTATGTAAGAAGACATCCACTTTGAGTAGGAGCCAATAACATCCGCAAGTGACCTGTGTACCTAAAATGAAAGCAAACATCCAAAAGCAAGAATACATTGTCATATTCCAGTTCTTCATTATGAAGTTTCATAAGAAACTACAACATAGTGCAAAGTAGGAAAGTGCTAGCAAATACATACAATGCACATAAAGCCTTTCGGTTCGTATGATGCCCTATCACACAAGATTGTCACCAAGTGCAAGACCATGGAGAGATCAAATGTTTGGCCTTCATGCAGTACTACATCAGCAACCTGGCACAGAAAATGAATCATGAAAAGAAGAATAATGATGAAGGAAACCAATTATAGCAGCTGAATCTTAGCAGTGAACTTCACATAAATGATATCTGCCAATAAGAGATTTGGTACGAGTATAGATCCATATAAATACACATATACTTGTATAAGGTATTAGGAAACTCATCTATAACAGAATGCATTCGGATTCATAAATTAAAATGGAGTCCAATAGAAATCATAAAAGAAATAGTTTTCATTCAGCATTTACAAATCAACTGTCAAGGAGTTTATCAACTTCATAACCAGATATCATAAAAGTACCTTTTCTCTTGCAAGATCACACAATAACATCTATGTAAAAAAAACAGATATTAAAATATCAATCTTATATTTTGTATTATTGGCCTTCAATTCTCCTTTTTAAAGATATCATTGTAGGATCCAAAGAAACTGGTGATTTGACTCATTAATGCACCCGCAAAAGATTGGCGCAATTTAGTTCACAGTTATAGGATACACGTGTATCAGACCTCCCTTTGCTCTAATGCCATGATTTGAATTTGGTATAGTAGATGCCCAATGACAGATTCTACCAGCTATTCATAGTAATTGTAAGAGCCAGCATTAAGAATTTCCAAAGATCTAAAAAGAGGAAGCACTAATCCTAAGAGGAAATAGTTGAAAAAGAGCTGACGGAAAATAGATCTAATGAATACGGTACCTAGAGGTACCTCAACAATCTCAAAATGGTAAATCACAGTACAATCAGTTTTAACATGTATGATTAGACGAAGAGAGTTAATTATAGTTTCATTACAGATGAGTGCCTAAGGTTGGGTTTGGAAACCTCTGAATGAGTTCCCATTCAGAGGCTCTGACTGAAACCCTATTCATTTGTGTGTGAAAACCAAAAAAAGCTCCTCTGAATACGCCAAGCACCTGATGAAATCCAGCAACTCCCCCCTCCTTCAGACGCCTCATTTTCTAATTTTACCCCATTGCTGCTTCACTCTGCATCAATCTGTCCCTGGTTCTCCTCGATCAATGCTTCTGCCGATTTCTTATGTTTGTGCTTTACTATTACTTATCTTGGTGTTAAGTCCTATATTGGTCACCTGTTGAGTTTGGTATAACAGGTGAGACCCAGACCATCAGATCAGTTATTGAGCCTGATGAGATCACAGTTGTTACATATGTTTTGCCTCTCTCTAATTCTTGTTTTAATTAGCTTATTTATTCTATATTAGTTGATATTCACGTTAATTGGAAATGTAATGCAATCAGATCATCCTTGAATACAACAGTGATGTTATGATTTTTATTTGCAAAGATGGTTTCATTTGCAGCAGGTACCGCCAATTGATGTTTTAGAAGTCAAGGAAGATGAAGCCATTGAACTCTTTGAAAGAATGACACAAATGATGCAGTTTCTGGGAGGGCTTTGTTAAGTGGATGTCTTCAAAATGGAATGGCATAGAAGTCTATGAAGATTTTTGTAACATGCTGTTCAAAATGAAATGGCATACAAGTCAATGGAGCTTATGGTAAAAATCCTCACAACTTGTTTACAACTAGGAGTTCTTCAACACGTTGGGCTACAAATTAGTCGAATTCAATTTTAGCTATCCACAAAATCCTCACATCCTCTTTAGAATTATTTTATTCATTTTAGGTTCTCCAGATAAACTCTTATGTGAAGTTGTCATATATTTGTCAATGCTAGAAATTAACGGATGCATTTGTATGCTATGGTAGAACTTTTGTTGGTATCTAGTTCAACCAATTTGTCCCTTCTTATATGTATAAGTTGGCTTTTGGTTCAACAGATATTGAGATTTGGGGCTCAAAGAAAGTTTTATTTATTTTATTTAAAACCCTATTGATTGCATGCATCTTTGCAAGGATTGAAGAAAATAATTTCTTACAAATGATTTATGAAACTTGAATGGGTTCTTTTACCAATACAAATATAAATAATCACTTGGAAACCATCGAATGGGTCTGTGGTGTTTCAAGAACAAAACAGTGTGTCAAACTGTATTTTATGCACTTGTTATATAGCAGCAGTTACTGCTAAGAAATGTAAATCACAGTATGGTAGCCAAGATATACTTTTTCTAAATATATTTGAAGCTATTATGTTGAAATTCAAATTATATTATTTGGTTTCATTTAATATATTTTTTTATATTGTATGTTTTATAAATTCAGAATGTTTGTCAGGACGTATTTCATTTAGCAATATATCATTTAGAAGGTTAAAATTGTAATTTTCGGTTAGTCAAACTGTCCAATATCAAACGATCATTTGTCATTCAACACTTGATCAAGGAAGAGGCTCTTATTTATTTCGGCTCCTTAATCATTCAGTTTTATCAAACAGCCCCCCAAGGCTTCAGGCTGGAGGTTTGTCAAAGTTGAGTTGCCTAAATGCTATAACAAACTGCCATTAAAAAATATGAAAGTTGCACAAGTCCTTGGCACAAAACCAGACTTTCATCTCCAAATTCCCATAAGCAAGGGAGATTTCTCTGGCTAAAGAGAATGCAGATTGCTTTGTCAGCCTAGCCCCCTTAGGCGACCTAGTTGTTATGCCACCCAGAGGATGGCCATGACTCCAAATAATGGAAAAGGTTAAATCAAGACTACTAAAAGACAAAATCAGAGAGCGGTTAGACTGGATTCTGTTTGTAAGCATGGACTGTCTCTTGCCTACTTCCATTATCTCGTAAATTAATTACTAAAGAATTTGCTAATGGAAGAAGAAAGAAACGGATTCCCATCCAAACTACAGTAAGGGCCATTATTTAGAGCAGTAAGATATCCAGATAATAATACAATCCAGTAAAATGAACTACAATGTAGCAGAAGCAACTGACCACATTAAGAGCAGACATTCTGGTTTCCACCTCCTTCCAAGGAATTTGTATGTTTGAAGACAACCAACCACCAAAAAAAATCTGATTCATAATTACAAACTAATATTATCATTTAATATATGAGTTGAAGAGATTCTAACCTCCAAGTGCAAGGCATATTATTTTTGGACTGATATATATTGGAATAGATGCATGCTGATTCAGATATATATGTCGATTAAGGTACTAAAAAGCACCAGCATTAGAAGTAAGCATTATTAGTTCGCAGATTTGGTCTTTACACCCTTCAGCTTGATAGTTACTCACCAAGGGTAGCCTGATTCTTTAGTTGGTTTTTGCATTCCTTGAGGTCTAATGAGTGAATGATTTAAATGGATCTCTTCCCAACACATTCCCCAAAGTTCTTCTCATATGATCTAACTTGGCTTTTGATGTTCAACATGGGCCAAAGAATAATCCTTTCCACATTTCATTTGGCCCAACAGCACAAGGTGGCATCACATGTAGAAGTATGGTTCTATGTTGTGACCAAATTACACATCATCAGTGAAATATGATTGGAGGTCCCAAAAAATGCTAGACAAATGCTGGTGCTTTTTAGCCGGAAACTGTAAACATTCGAAAGCTAACTTTGGAATAGTGGAGCATCAAGGATTCGAGAAAGATGGTTTGCCCCTAGTACCGTCCATCTATATTGTGGGAACTTACCACGGCGAATGCAGGGAATCGTCAAAGGGTCACCTCTAGTAGAACAGAGACTATATCCACATTAAACAATAGAATAATGGCGTAGATTCTTTTTAAGCAGCAAAGTGTGAAGGGAATTTCAACCAGGGACCCTTAAGTATTACAACCCACGAAGCAGGCGAGAAAGCATTCAAGCAAAGCACCTAATAGTAGGATGGATGCAAATATTATGTGCATACCTATTACTTCTGAAAATCTAGCTAGCAAAAAGATAAAATGATTCATCCAACATAGACCAAAATGACAAATTGCATAAAGACAAAGCATAAAACAGATGTTAGTAAGCCTCAATGTCTACCAMCTATCCCATCTTAATCCAAGCAGACATATGCATCGTCATTACTGCATAGAACTAGGAAAAGTTTTAATTAAATCAAAATATCCATTTGAGGCACTTATCAGAACAAAAAGTTTATAGATAAGGAGCAAGGAAGAGAAGCATTGAAAAAAATTAGAACAAGCACCTTTTGCAAAAACACAGCAGACTTCAAAAGTTGGCAAATGTCCACCAAAAGCTCCACCAAATTTTGCCTAAACTGAGCAAGACCATCCGGTAGGTCCCTTGTTGCAGTTTCAACGGTATATGTTGAATCATCCACCTACCACAGAGAATGTCTACTTTAATGTTATTAATCAGGGAATGGATGGTTGATACTAAAGGTGACATGGAGTAACTACTCTACAAGATTTAGAATCCAAATCAAAATGTCTTCAACAAAAATTTAATCGGAAGAAGAAACAACCAATTGGAAGATTCAAGCCAATATTGGCAAGAGAGAGAGAGTCAAGTTATATAGAACCATCCCTCCTAATCCACTAAAAGTATCAGCATGCTTTATGAATTTTCCATTACATGTTATCTCTATAAGAATAATATCTTGTTACTAATGACCAGTGAAAACCATCTAAAGCCATAATATACTCATGCATAAGCTGCATTGGAGTTAGCAAATGCTAATACAATGGTTATAACGGTGTGCTGTTGACACTTGTTTTAGAACACCATTTCTAGTCAGGCAAATTGATTCACTATTATTACTCTCTTTTCTTGCCAAGTTAGAGATAAAATACAACCACCTGGTTCTAGGGCATAGTTTGTAATTAAATATCAATAAAGCAGGTCTCTTATCTCATATCATTTATCTAATTGCTCTTATTTTAAAACAAGAAGAAAACTATTCAAAAAAAAGATTTTCTGATCCCCTTACGAAAATGTCTCTGAGCCAGATCAACTCGGAATTTGACATTTCGAACTAGCAAAGAAAAACTAACTTCTATGGAAGTATAGTTGTGCTTTAATTTTTATTTAACACGTGGAGAATTAGAAAACTCCTAGGAGGGTATATATGCTGGTTAGAAGATTGTAAGCATAAAAAGAAGCATTCTGATCCTCTGTTATGGATGTGGGACCATGGGAGTAAATAAACTGATAGAGAAACATCAGTATCACTACAAGATGAGTATAAGAACTTAGTAGACACTGTATTACCTTAACGCAGAACCAGTACGCAGTAAATTCGAAATACCTGAGAACGCATCAGAAGAGCATCAAGCAATGCTGAAAAAACTGGAGAAAAAACATCTTGAACATGTTTTTTATTTTCTGTTATCGCAGCATCCATTCGAACAATATTGCTCGCAAGACTACACCTAAAATTCAGAAAGAACAGCGATGGTTTACTTATGTAAACAGAAGTACTTTCATTCCTCATGTAACTACAGAACTGCATCTTTGATGACTGCTTTTTTAATATTGACTAAAACGGAAAAAAAAAAAGTTACCAGAACTGCAAAGTTGAGTCTGCAATCTCCCAATCTTGACTTGGAAATGATACACAACTGCCAAAAATACATAAATATACATATAACATGGAAGAAATTTCATGCATGAGAAAAGCTACCAAGTGGATCTTTATGCAGTCTGGGTATCCAGAAGTAGGTTAAAAAATTGTAAACGTGCTCCACAAGTTGAATGTCTCTATTTGTTTCATATCTGAAGTATATCAGCTTCCACAATGCAACTACTTAATGTTCACAAAGACCAAAGAAAATGACACTACTTTAATGAAAAACACCTTCTGTGATATGCTTTGATGTTCATAGAATGCAGCATGTAGAGCCACTGCTTCCCATTTGAGGGCATGCCTTCTATTATCATGCAAGGTATTGTTATAAAAAGGAATTAATTTAAGTTCTGACCTCAAAAGTGCATCCACGAGCACAAGTGCTTCAGAATGGGCTTCCATAATCAAACTTGGATCCTAAACACCAATAAGTAATAAGAATTCATTGTACAGAAGTTGAGAAGGTTGAACCTCCTACTTGCAAGATTTTTGGGTCTTATTCACTATAAGAAAATTGAAATTTGTTCGTGGAAATATGGACATAATATGGAAAGCAAGATACTAAATAAATTACTTACAGCCTGGCCAATCTCCGACATCAAGCATGCAAGACCACTAATTACTTTCTCATCTCCACCACTAAACGCTCGAAGAAGAACATCTTTAAGAAATCCTACTTTGCATATAAGAACTTGTGGCAGTCCCTGTAGAATGGAGAAAAGGTGAAGTAATACAACATAGATTAAAATTTCCAATGACGCGGCGTCAATATATATAGCTGCTTAGCATAGCATTACTTTAGTGACAATCATATTCTGAAAAATAGAAGGAAGGTTGAGATGTGAGATTGATTAAATTCAATTTCACAAGGCAGATATATGAGTTGGTAAGAGGTACAAGGTATTTCTAAAATGTCTTATCCACGAAAGGTACCAAAAGTAGGTAACTTTCAAGTGATGACAAACACAGTAACTACAATAGTGAGACGAATGCAATATGAGAACCTGCCAAATTATACAAGACCTTGTACATGGAAATTATTTATTTTTAATATTGGAAACATATTGATACTGGAAATCAGCAATTCTCAATACTTAGAGGTGTAGTTATATCAAATCTTTAGAATTTAAGCTTCCACAATGTCAACTCAATTTTTATGATCAAAAGATTAACTTGCCAGCTTTATTTCTTGCTATTTATTTGATCAAGTCACTTGGGCTATCATGCTTTATATTTACTATTTTGCCAGCAAAATCTGTTTTAGCCACTTTTTGCTATAAATAGAAAATGGATTTGGTACTACCTATGTCACATCATCGCTTTTTGCCTTTTCGGTGACGTGGGCCACGTGGCACGTATATGCATAAAAATTGTGCAAATAATTTATTAAATTGATTTTAGATTCCACTAAGAATATCAATTATACTTTGATAATTTAACAACAATATTTATTATCAAATAAAATATATTTCTATAATTTTTTATTTATTAAACTAAATATCTTCAAACTATAAATTAATTTTTATTAATATTTTAACAAAGGTTTAAAAATGAAAGAGTAATGTTTATAAGATTATTGATGCATATAGAGTTGCAAAACTGCAATACACATTTATAAAAAGTAGATACACAAATTAGTTTCATAAATAATAATAAAAACTACCTTAAAAATATTTGTAACAAACATAAATACAACTATTTGAATGAATGTTTCATTAAACTATAAAATAATTAATATAATTATTTTTATTCTTTGAAAAATATTATTACATTAATGTTAGGTAATTGATTAATATATTGGTAGTGAAGTATAGTAAAGAATTTAATTGGAATTTTTTAAGTTATAATTAATTAATTAATATACATACATATAGTTTTAAAGCTAATATAGCACTTAAGAAATTGTTGATGCAAAGGGTAATTGCAGAGTAACAGACTTCGAAGGATGCAAACCTCATCCAAAATCAAGTCTCCACACCTATACACTTGATCAACAACGACCAACTCAAAATAACATCGTTGGCCAAGTCAAAAGCTTGTTATAGCTTATGCTTTTATGATTTATGGGATATGCATACCTCATGTCGACCAACTAGTTCGATCAGAACCTCAATTGCCAGATCAAATGAGGACAAAACCTACAACCATCAGGTCAATAACATGTGTAAGTGCAATCATGATATCATTTATGAGGGAATCTGTAATTGAACCAAAAGAAAAGCATAAGAACTGGTTTTCACCTGCACAGAATTGAAAACAAAATTAAGAAGGGGATGGGCTAGTAATGAGACTGGTAAAATTTCTGAGAAGCATCCTGCTCGAACCTATCAATAAGCAGGCAAGGTTCAGATGTAGAAGAGTGTGAAAACAAAGTTATTTTTATCAAATGGACATTCAACAGTGGTTCAAACAGAGAATTCCTGAGCATGATTATGATATATCAAAGATAAAATATTAGGAATAGGTGCCGAGTCCTGTCAATAAATCTCAGAACAATATATACCACGTATTTTCATCTGTTGACGGATTTATAAGACAAAATAAAACTTCGAATGTGATAGACTTGTCCTACCCAACTTAACAAACAACGCAGTATCTTTCTGCTCCTTTCATGTAGTTGTACGACACCATCAAAACTTTCCTCGGATTGCTGCAGTAGGAACTCTAGAACTGCTGATGTATGTGAGAGTAGCTGCTTGGGCAAGGGAATATGTTAGTTGCTAGAGTACCTAAATTAGAGTGACTGCAAAGGATTAAAAGGTCTAGTACCTCTGGGCCGTAGTCACTTCTTTGACCTGACTTGGTTTTATAAGTAGCACACTCGTCTTCAACAACTTCTGGTAAGACTGTGAGCATTTCCAGAACAGCAATATTGCCATCATCCTGACCTTGCAGATTCTGAAGACTGTAAAAGAGCTTCTCGATTGGCTTGTAGTACTCCACAGCATGAAGTACGAGAGTTGATAGAGCCAGACAAATTTGTGTTAAGAGCTACACCAATCCACATCCCCACACCCCCAAAAAAGGAAAACAACACACACATCAGTTTGTTACCAAACCAACAGAACTTAAAAGATTAGACCCTCTTATGTTACGGATATCATGAAAGCCACCACATTGCAAGATGTATGGGTACCAGAAATTCCTTTCAGAAGAAGAGTACCTGGGGTGGACCCAAGCTAAATCTTTTAGCAGCCAAAAGGAGAGCATTAACAAGAGATTCCTTTGCTTCCAGCTGCAGACAATGTCCTTCATTTTGGATCTGGATGCGACAGAATATAGTCAAGATTCATTCTACCATACGCAATATTGGTACAGGCGTACAGCAAGAGATTATACATAGTTAATTAATGGAAATTTGAAACACCACATTCCACAACACTACAAGATACATATTGGAAAAGTTACTAATATATGATGTGGGCGTTCATTTTTTGATATAGAGGGGGGAGGCCCCTCCTATCAAGAGAAAAAAAAACCAAAAACGCTAAAAGCAATAGATTAAGCACTCGGGTGGGGGCAAACCATATCCACCAGAAAGAAACCAAGGCTCCCTGAAGGGAAAGAAAGGAAGAAAACAGGGGCGAGAGGAGAGAAAGACCAACCACTAGTGAAGGTTCCAGGCAAGCCGAGCCCGGACAACATTTGGGGAGGGTTTTATAGTCAAGCTAAGAAGCCTGGACCGGACATCATCAGTAATGGTCTTGACCACCATATCATGAGATCTTCTCTTATTCTTGAAGATACGATTATTTCTTTCCTGCCAGAGGTTATAGACAGTAGCAACAAGCACTAATCTGCGAATGATAGACCAAATGGTCATACCTTTGGTGGCTTGCTGGAAGATACTGATGATATCAGCCCAATTATCCGGGACAATAGGAAGGTTAAGCTTGGGCTTAAAGCCATTCCAAACCTGATTAGGGTATGGACACTCAAAGAAAAGATGCTGATGAGAATCAGACCCATTATGACAGAACTCACAGGACAGGTTAGAATAGACCTCCCAAAACCGAAGCTTATCATGCGTCTTAAGACGTTGCTTAAGGGCAACCCAAATAATGAAAACATTTCTGGGGGTATTTTGGGAGAACCAGACATGTGGTGCCAATCGACATCTGGCTCATTGGGATGGATAGAAAGTCAGACCTCATGGACCGAAAAAGGAGTAAGACGGCCATCCCTTTTCCTTGAGAGGATGTGGGCGTTCATTGATTATTACTTTATGGGGATTTCTTTTGATACTTCCAAACTGGATCTAATACATTTGGATTAATACTTTGGCAATTGTAAGAAACCATACGGATAAGCCTCGATCATGATCGTTTTGTCCCAATCCCTACAAATCTCAACCATCTGATTTGGTGAGAACACTGCGCTCTTTGCAATCACAAATGGATGTTGTTTGGTCAGGCAAAGAGAACTTGGCCAAGGAGCTAGATGAAATTCAATTCAATTTGCAAGAATTATTAGATCTTCAGTTTTCCATAACCCATTTAGAATCCAATAACCATTTATAGATGTAAGTAGGGGTTTCAATATTTGGGTTAGACTCAAAAGGACCAAAATTGAAACCAAAACCAGACTCTAATTTAGAAATTTGAGTATGATTTAAGCTTTTAAATTCAGTTTAAAATTCAAACCGATATTCACGTTCAATTTTCGGTTCCAGTTGACTGTTTTCAAACCAAGCCAAGAGAAAAACTGAATTCTATAAACATTTGCATATATATATAATATATATATATATATATATATACACACACTTTTAAGTGAATTCCCTAATACCACTTTTGTTATTGATATAATAACTTGAGTTGCTAGGGATACTTGATGGGTATTTGTTCTATGGTTGGTGTGATATCAATTTCCGCATTTCCTGTGATGTCTGATGCTTTTACAGTATCCTCATAAATGCATGTGTAAGCATAACAAGAAAGCAACATTTGAGTTTTTACGTCCAATTTGTAATGATATTTTTTTGGCATAAATTGCAATCAAATATGGCGAAGTATTTGTGTTATCAACATCATAATCAACATTTTGTCAATATCTCGGTTTTTATAAGTTCTTTTTTGTAATCTTCCGGTTTCAAAGTTGGTTTACAAGCAAAATGTCATCAGCAATGAGGGCCAAAGCACTGACAGTTTAAGCAGAAGTTGGGCACACCATCAAATCATTTATGGACATGGAGGATGAGAGTTGGTTCTACTCTTAAAATATCCCAGAACCCTTTTACAGTTTTACTGATGAGACAAGTTATCTTGTTTGGGCTCAAGCTGATCCAATTGGTCATTTTGTAGTCATTCCATTGTAATTCGTGAATGGCCTATGGCAGTACGAAGAAAGTACAAGAGGTGACACAACTAAGTTGTTAAGTAGTCTGGTATTATTGGGTAGAGACTTCGATATGCTTGCAGCTAGATTTGTTTGAGTGTCATAAAGGATTCGTTGGATGAGTTCTCTAAGGTGTCTGCCTTTTCCCCAGTCCGGCAAAAAGTGAAGCTTTCTATTGCAACATCGGGAAGCACACCAAGAGTTCCATTCATTCTATCATCCAGTTCTTGAAGGGCTCCCTTCCGGTCCGTTATCTTGGCGTCCCCCTTATCACGACTAGGCTTTACCACAATGATTGCAAGGGTCTCGTCGACAAAATTAATTCCAGATTGAATGACTGGAAAAACATATCTCTCTCCTTTGCCGGTAGGCTGGAGCTCATTCTTTCAGTCCTGTCCTCCATGCAAATTTATTGGGCCTCGATCTTTGTTCCCCCTGTTTCCATTTCCAAGTAGATTGAGCAGCTCATGTGGGGCTTCCTGTGGTGCCATGGTGAGCTTAAAAGAGGAAAAGCAAAGGTCTCCTGGAAGACCGTATACCTTCCCAAATCCCAAGGCAGCCTTAGTCTTAAGAGCCTAACCAGCTGAAATCTTGCCCTTATGGCCTCCCACACTTGGAGAATCCTCACTAATAAGGATTCTCTATGGGTTAAATGGATCCACTCCCACAGGCTTAAAAGACCGAAATTTATGGGATGTCCGATCCGCAATGATGTTGTTGGGGCTGGAGGAAGATCCTAGGCATGCGGGATAAGATAAGAGACTTCATTGTCCCCCAGATTGGTGATGGCGCTTCCACGTCTGCCTGGTTTGGTAACTGGCACCCTGCTGGCCCCCTCTGCCGACAAATCTCTCCCCGTAATATCCTCAGCGTTAACCTCTCCCTCAATGCATGCGTTAAGGACATTATCTGTCAGGGTTGCTGGACTTTCCCCCAACTGCGGGACAATCCCAACCCCTTTATTCGTGATTCTTCCCCTCATGTCCTTTCCCCCTTTGTCCCTGATAAACTCCTCTGGAGAAAAAGGGATGGCCATCTTACTTCTTTCTCTGTCCATGAGGTCTGGCTCCATCCGCCCCAATGAGCCGGATGTCGGTTAACATCACATGGTCTGGTTCTCTCAAAACATCCCCACATATGCTTTCATTCTATGGGTTGCCCTCAAGCAGCGTCTGAAGACGCATGATAAGCTTCGGCTCTGGGAGACCTATTCTAACCTGTCTTGTGCGTTCTGTCTTAACAGGTCTGATTCTCATCAGCATCTATTCTTTTAGTGTCCATTTCCTAATCAGGTTTGGAATGGTCTTAAGCCAAGCTGAACCTCCCTCTTATCCCGGATAATTGGGCTGATATTATAAGTATGTTCCAACAAGCCACCAAACGCAAGATCATTTGGTCTATCATTTCGAAGATTAGTGCTTGTTGGAACCGTCTACCACCTCTATCTAGCAGGAAAGGAATAATCGTATCTTCAAAAACAAAAGAGGATCTTCTGACATGGTGGTCAAGACCATCTCTGATGATGTCTGGTCCAGGCTGATTGGCCTTACCATGAAGCCTTCCCCTAATGTTGTTCGTGCTAAGCTTGTCGGGAACCTTCCCTAGTGGTTGGTTCCTTTCTTCTCCCCCCACCCCCCTTCTTTCTTCTCCTCTCCCTTTTCTGAGCTTTGCTCCTTTCTGGTGGTTGCTTCAGTTTAGCTTCCTCCCGCGTGTTGTCCTTGGTTTTAGTTTCTCAAAAAAAAAAAAAGACAAAAAATTTGTCTTTTTTTTCTTTATTTCTTGATTGGAGGGGCCGCCCCCCTCTATATCGGAAAAAAACTGAATTCTATAAACATATGCATAATATATATATATATATATATATGTACACACACACACTCTTTTAAGTGAATTCCCTAATATCACTTTTGTTATTGTATAATAACTTGAGTTGCTGGGGATACTTGATGGATATTTGTTTTGTGGTTGGTGTGATATCAATTTCCGCATTTACTGTGATGCCTGATGCTTTTACAGTATCCTCATAAATGCATGTGTATGCGTAACAAGAAAGGAACATTTGAGTTTTTACGTCCAATTTGTAATGATATTTTTTTGGCATAAATTGCATTCAAATATGGCGAAGCATTTATGTGCTATCAGCATTATAATCAACATTTTGTCAGTATCTCAGTTTTTATAAGTTCTTTTTTGTATATCTTCCGGTTTCAAAGTTGGTCTACAAGCAAAATGTCATCAGCAATGAGGGCCAAAGCACTGACACTGTAAGCAGAAGTTGGGCACACCACCAGATCATTTATGGACATGGAGGATGAGAGTTGGTTCTACTCTTAAAATATCCCAGAACCCTTTTACAGTTTTACTGATGAGGCAAGTTATCTTGTTTGGGCTCAAGCTGATCCAATTGGTCATTTTGTAGTCATTCCATTGTAATTCGTGAATGGTCTATGGCGGTACGAAGAAAGTACAAGAGGTGACACAACTAAGTTGTTAAGTAGCCTGGTATTATTGGGTAGAGACTTCGATATGTTTGCAGCTAGATTTGTTCGAGTGTTGCACTTACTAGTTAAAAGAAATTGGAGAGCAATTGGGTAATTGACTAATGGCATGTTTCTATGGAGAATAGATTCTGATCAAACAGGTGATGGTTTGTTGAGCTAAACCTGTTTCTGACTTTGCCAGAGACTTGGGCTGTGTTCAGGACGATAGACATCAAATCATTGACCAAGTAATCAAGGATTTTGGGTGTTTAGGGATATAACGAGAGACTTCCATCTTAGTAGATCGCAACCATGAGCTTTAATTTAGAAGTCGGTGACAAGCCTAAAAGAAGCAATTTGCAGTCACAGTTTCCTGATGAAAACATGCTCATGCTATTTGCGGGGAATGTGTATGTGGTGACCGTAAACTGGACCAAAAAAAGATATGAACTTGACAACGGAACGTGTGACAACAAGAACGAAGAAAATAAGTGAGGCTAACCTTACGCTTAAGAACTTGAGCAGCAAAAAACTCAACTTCGAAGTCAGAAACGTACGGTGTAGGATGGGCAGAGGTCAGGATTGAGGTGGCGATCTCCCAAGCAGCATCTGTCTGCTGGAACTGAACCAGCCACTGATTAGCAGAAACACGATTGCAAGATTGAGCATCGTGATTTAAGACGTGAACCGCCTGCGCCACCTGGATTTGTAACTCCATTTAAAATTCCATCACCATCGGACACGATACACCAGGTTTTCTTATACAGACATGCCGTCGGCTTTATGATGAATGGAAATGTAATGATATCGCCAATCAACTATCTCAGTTGGGTATCTGAAGGCGCTTGGAATAAAAAAAGTATTGTACGGGATTCGCCTGATTTTAGTAGCTGACCTCTCTCGTCAGTCATCCACCGGTATTCAGTACCCTAACGACAGCCGGAAGAGAGACGGGATTAATAAAATAGTTTTGGGAGGGAATTACACCTTTGGTCCCTCTGAAACCTTTTTTCCTTTCACGTTGTATTTGTGTTTCTGTATTTTCAGTTCCAATAATCTTCATTGAGTATATATATATTAACTAGATAGAATCACTTACTTGGTATATTAACGAGAAGAAAGAAAGCAGAAGGAATGAAATATATATATATATATACTAGTTGTGTATCCGCGTAATGTGGCGGGAGTCATGAATTTTAACGATTTTGAAGTTCCACTGGTTTTATAAGATAAGATTTAACGATGATATATTGTTGATCCTCTCTTTCAGTGATTTGATGATAATCTTTTTTCTCTTTCACGTTGTATTTGTGTTTCTGTATTTTCAGTTCCAGCGATCTTCACTGAGTATGTTCAGTGATCACTGAAGAACTTGCATTGTAAATCTATCAGAGACGGCAATACATCAAGAAGACAACACTCACACCAAAGAACCTTCAGCAAACATCGAAGACTAAAACTGAATATTTGATCTGAAGCAGTATTCAGTGATTACAAGTTTGTCTACATATGTGTGAAGACTGCTCAAGCTTCAGCTAATGATGATAAGACCTTCAGGTCATTCCAGCATTCAGCGATCAAAGGAAGCTTGCTTAGCACGATTGTTGTTGTCTTGTCCTTATGCACACAAAGGACAAAACCCATACCCTTACAAAAGTTGTACTGTACGGAGACGACTAGTCGACTCTTTGTCCACCAACTTTAGGTAAGGATGTATGCTCTTGTATAGTGCTTTTGTACTATTAAATGTAACAAATGACAAACCTTCCTCTTAAGGCTTGACACGCACTCTAAACCTATCATATTGCATTAAATGGACATTTAATGCACTGGGTATAAATAGAAGTGTTTCTTCTCCATGCAGAGTGCGCGCATCTCTCTCTTGCTAACCTTATTCTTACTTCAAGCATCTTCTAGCTTATGTAAATGATATTTCTTTTAGCAACTTTTTTTCTTGTAATTGCTAAAACATTGTGTGTAACCAAAGATTGTTTATATAAGTTTTTATTACCTTATCTTTCCGTAAACAATCTTGTAAAATCTGTATTGATCTTCTCTATCAATATATATTTTAAATTTGAAAATATTATGTTTGTATTCATCCCCCCTTCTACAAACTATTTCTCTTCTTGTAAACCCTTACGGGACCAACAAGTGGTATCAAACCTTCGCACCAGTGGCTAGACTCGAAGCAATTCGACTCTTTCTAGCCTTTGTTGCCCATAGAGACTTTAAGATCTTTCAGATGGATGTAAAGAGCTCTTTCCTTACTGGAAAACTTCAAGAGGAAGTTTATGTTGAACAACCTCCAGGGTTTCTTGACCCTAAGTATCCTAACCACGTCTATAGGTTGGATAAAGCTCTTTATGGGTTAAAACAGGTTCCTCATGTCTGATATGATACCCTTTCTTCTTTTCTCATCTTTGAGAAATTCTCTCGTGGCAAGATTGACCAGACCTTATTTCTTAGGAAAATTAAAGGTCACACCATTCTCGTCCAAATTTATGTCGATGATATTATTTTTGGTTTCACTAATCCCTCTTTATGTTTTCGTTTTGCTGAACGCATGAAGAAAGAATATCAGATGAGCATGATGGAAGAACTAATTTTTTTTTAGGTCTCCAGATCAAACAAACTGATAAAGGCATCTTTATCAACCAAAGTAAGTATGTTAGAGACATGCTGAAGAAGTTTGATTTATCCAACAGTTCATATATGAAAACTCCTATGGCTCTTCCTCTCACTCTTAA